AACAGAAAGAATAATAGAACAGAAACGAAGAGAACAGAATAATAGAACAGAACAGAAAGAATAGAACAGAACAGAAAAGAAAATAATAGAACAGAACAATAGAACAGAACAGAAGAATTATGACCATTTTCAAGGTCTTGGCCAAGATGAAATGTAAATCAGATACTTTTGGATTTTCTATATTCCTTTCCTGACTGTAGAGAGCTAAAATAGCTTTTTGAGGATTTCAATTTAATTTCCTCTCAAGTTTCTGGGTGCCATAAAAGTTGCTAACCAGGACAAATATGGATGTGTCCTGCCTTCGTTGTATCCACCAGGACCGCCTGGTGGGCTAATCTTCATAACAAAATTAGGACCTTTATTAGATTGCTCTGGATTAATTTTTAATGACTCTGGTATTGTCTGAAGTTAATTTTTAATGGTGTGTATTGGGGTTAATGACCTTCCCAAGCTGGCTGGTTTTCGGCCTGTCCCTCTGTTGCAGGAAACTAGACTTCAGGCATTGGCCATAAGTAAAAGAATTAGTCAAAGCTGACATTTTCCTCACACTTTTCATTTGCACAACCCTCCTTGGAGGTAGATGAAAAGAGTTGGCACAGGATTAGGAACTTTAGGATGGAGGATTAAGGGCTGCCCCAAAGACGAGGGGATCAAATTATTCTCCAAAGCACCCGAAGGCAGGACAAGAAGCAACGGATAGAAACTCATCCAGGAGAGAAGCAACCTAGAACTAAGAAGAAACTTCCTGACAGTGAGAACAATTAACCAGTGGAACAACTCGCCACCAGAAGTTATGAATGCTCCATCACTGGAGGTTTTAAAGAAGAGATTGGACAGGCATTTGTCTGGAATGGTCTAGGGTTTCCTGCCTCAGCAGCGGGTTGGACTAAGGGACGTGGTGGCTCAGGGGCTAAGACGCTGAGCTTGACGATCAGAAAGGCTGGCAGTTCGGCGGTTTGAATCCCTAGCGCCGTGTCATGGAGTGAGCTCCCGCTCCTTGTCCCAGCTTCTGCCAACATGGCAGTTCGAAAGCAAGTAAAAAAAAATGCAAGTAGAAAAATAGGGATCCCTTTGGTGGGAAGGGAACAGCGTTCCACGCGCCTTCGGCGTTTAGTCCTGCCGGCTACATGACCACGGAGACGTTTTCAGACAGCGCTGGCTCTTCGGTTTTGCAACGGAGATGAGCCCCGCCCCCTAGAGCTGGAAACGACTAGCATGGATGTGCGAGGGGAACCTTTACTTTTACTTTTTAGAGGGTTGGACTAGAAGACCTTCAAAGTCCCTTCCAACTCAGTTATGGCCATGCTAGTGCCATGACGTCAAGTTGTGCCCAAGACGTAGCTTCCTTTTAAACCCACCCGGGTTTTCCCAATTCTATCCTGCCAGGGAGCCAAGCAGAACTAGAAACTAAAAGTCAACCTTCTTAATTTTCTATATTTCCCACAGGTTTTCTCCATCTGTGCTTCAGATTCTGCAAAAAAAAGGGGAATTTGAACACGTTTGCTGTCACTCAAAAGCGCTCTCTCTGATATGGGTGAAATATTACACTGGGTTTCTCCCACACACACCCGGTATTCAGCCTTCATCACATCAGCCCCAGGGCAGGGGATTCAGCATTTTTTTTTAAAAAAAAAAGGAACAGAAGCTTTTTGATGTACACAAAATTTCCTTTTTGACCACTTCTGCTCTGGACATCTCTGCCACAGGGACAGCAATTCTGACAAAGAGTTGTTAAATTCAGATTCTAGTGATATCTGCAAGTCCCTCTAGATTTTATTTCAACCTTTGCTGACTTCATGAATTATCCAGGTAAACTCTTGACAGCAGTCATTTTCTAAATCTTTCATTCTGGGATGTATTTTCCAGTTTCCCAGTCTTGGCCATCTCTCATCAAAAAAAAAAAAAAGTCATTTCCAATCATGCATAACTTTTGTTAGACCAGTCAAGATCTATCAGATGTTCCACAAAGGGTTGGATTTGTCAAACGGTGTTCCACTTATAGTATTTTTAAACTTGAAGCCCAGAGAAACATCCTGGCAGAAGTTTTTAACAGATTAACAGAGTTGGAAGGGACCTTGTAGGTCATCAAGTCCAACCCCCTAACTAAAGCAGGAGACCCTACACCATTTCTGTCCAGTCTTGAAAGCTTCCAGGGATGAAGCTCCCACAACTTCTGAAGGCAACTTCTGTTCCATGGGTTGATTGTTCTCCCTGTCAGGAAATTCCTCCTGATTTCCAGGTTGAATCTCTCCTTGTCCAGTTTCCATTCATTATTCCTTGTCTGGTGCTTTGGAAAACAGCTTGACCGTGAAGTCAACAAGACATAAAATGGTCTCAAAGGAGATATTTCAAGTTCCCTTCTTTGATACTTCAGCACCACGGACTGAGGTCTTTGCTAACTTTGGAGACTTAATCTGGCAGTCATCAAAGGCATAAACATAAGCAATCATCATCTTCTGTTAATGATCCCATAATCCTTTGTGGGGTGGAGTCTGGGCAACTGAGTGTTTAATGGCCGGATGCCCTTCCTATTGCCAACATGGAGTTTTGGCACCCGGCCATTAAACAGCAGATATAAACAGCAGATATATTCTCATCGTGCTCAGAGGGGGAAATATCTGCCTCTACCTAGGATCGAACTCACAACCTCCTGATTATGAGGGGAGAGCTTCACCCCAGGCCACACTCAAGATGAGAGGCACCCCTCAAATAAGTAACATGCAGTGAGGTGTGAAATTGTCCCCAAATTGTGGTCAATTTGGAAAGCCCAGTTGAAGAACAGTCCGGATTATTTTATTAACTTGATTGCTTTATTTCAAGAAGGTCTTTTAGGAAATTTGTCAGGCCTGCCCCAGCCAAGTCCTTAGGAAAGAGAGAGAGACCCCCAACTCCATTTGGTTAAAGTGGTAGGTTCTCTTAGTAAGGATTATGTCAACTCATAAAATGGATCCTGAGGACCAATGAAAGTCAGCCAAAGAGTTTGACTTAAAAATCTGAAAATGACAATTCAGTACCAAGCATTTCTGAAACACCAATATCGGAGTCTTGGTCACTGGGCCAAGCCAACCAGCTTAGAATCCATGAAATAAAAACCCAAATGGGTTTTTGACTTCAGTCTGAGGAGAACTAGGTAGAAATTTAATCTCGGCCATGATGGAACTGGGTTCACACTCATTATTTTTTGGCAAAAAGTAACCCAATAGGGCTGTTGTAACGGGAAAATTGGAGGAAGAGGCACAATGTCTATGGTCTTGAGTTCCAGGAAGAAAATCAGGATGCAAACTGAAGAAATGGACGAGGGGGGGTTGGACTAGATGACCTCTAAGGTCCGTTCCAATTCTGTTAATCAGTTAAATCAAGGAGAGAACCCCAATGTAGAATTTTCCTGACAATTAGAAAAATACACCAGTGGAACGACTTGCCTCAAGAACTTGTGCTCCAACACTGGAGGTTTCTGAACAAAAGACTGGATAGTCATTTGGCCAGAATGGTGTAGGGCCGTGGGGAGAACCTATGGCACGTATGCCACAGGTGACATGTAGAGCCATTTGTGCTGGCACTCAAGTTTGCAGGCAAACTCATCTCACTGCGCATGTGCGCACCTCACAGCTGATTTTTGGCTGGTTTGAGGCCTTTTCCGGCCTCCCAAAGGCTTGAGGAAGGCTTCTGCAGGTTTCTGCAGGACGAAAATTAGGCCTGTTTCATCACTTCCGGTATTTTTGGAAAAAAACAGGAAGTGACAAAACAGAGCTAGTTTTCGGCCCACAAAGCTTGCAGAGGCCTGCAGAAACCTTCCTCAAGCCCTTTGGGAGGCTGAAAAAGGCCTCGAACCGGCCCAAAATCAGCTGTGAGGCGCAGTGCAGGTAAGGGCAGTGGGGGGGGGGGGGGGGATGGTGCGCGCATGCGTAGGGGGCGGGGGGGGGGACGACGTGCATTGCCTTCTGGATGCTGGCATGCAAGCGCAAGCATGCAAGCGCGCCCACAATTTTGGGCACAGGAGCCCATAAAGGTTAGCCACCACTGGTGTAGGGTTCTCCTGCTTGAGCAGGGGGGGTTGGACTAGAAGACCTCCAAGGTCCCTTCCAACAACTGCTATCCTGTTAGTAAGTCCACTTAGCAGAGGGCTTAGAAGACACGTCTTACCGCTGACGGAGAGGGTGTATCTTGCAATGGAGTTGCCCATAAGATTGGAAGCATAGCAAATATAAGTCCCACTGTCGCTTTTGTTTAAGTTGGGAAAGGAGAGGATGTTGTCTTGAGCGTCCAACAACGGGGTGTCGACACCGTCCTTCTCCCACTTGTAATCCTGAGGGCTGTAAAGGAAGGAAAGAAGAGAGACCTCAATGGGTCAACGGATCAAAGAGAATGGGAGGCTCTGTCCTCACTTAACAACCATTTTAGGGCCTATAAAGCGGGACTCTCCAAGGACGCGGTGGCCTAGAGGCAGAGCTCTCACCTCACAATCAGGAGGCTGTGAGTTCGATCCTAGATAGAGGCAGATTTCTCTCTCTCTCTCTCTCTGGGCACGATGAGAATATTGTCTGCTGAACAAAACTCCGCATTGGCGACCAGGAAAGGCATCCGGCCATTCAAACACTCTGCTAGCTCCATCCAAGTTACCCAGACTCCACCCCTCAAGGGATTGTGGGGGGTCGTTAAATGAAGATCAAAGCAGGACTTCTCCAACCTTGGCAACTTTTAAGACTTGCGGATTTCAACTCCTAGATGGCTGAGGAATTCTGGGAGTTGAAGTCCACAAAGTGTTAAAGTCGCCAAGGTTGGAGACTCCCTGCTGTCAAGCACCCCCTGGTGGTCATACGTGGTTCTGCTGCCCTCTGTGGTCATGTGACTTTATACAAAGTTCTGCAGTCACATGACCACTATCCGCAAAGTTTTCACCCGTTTCCAGTAGAAAAACACACGTTCAAATGAATGGGCTGCTGAATGACCGCACGGCGTTCACTCAACGCCTACTGTGAAAAAAAATCCAGAAATTCACTTGCTGTCATGTGATTATATTGAGCTTGATTGCGGCCATAAATTGAGGATTATTTTTATCTATCATTTCAATTTCTATAGTTACCCCTTGGTACCTGAAAAACTGAAAAATATTAAAAGAAACAGTAAGAATAAAGAATGAAAAGGAGCACAAACTGATTGGTTTTTTTTAATGACCCCATAATCCCTTGAGGGGCGGAGTCTAGGCAACTAAATGGAGCTAAGTATTTACTGGCCGGATGCTCTTCCTGTCGCCAATGCGGAGTCATAAGTCAGCAGATATAATCTCAACGTGTCCAGAGAGAGAAATACCTGTCTCTACCTAGGCTCGAACTCACAGCCTCCTGATTGCGAGGCGAGAGCCCCCCTTCTAGGCCGCCGCACCACTCTGATCCCATGATCCACTTAAAATTTAACCTTTATCGGCATTTCCGTCCACCGCCCCTTCCAAAATACACCTGCATCTGTTTTCTTGGCTTCTTGGGTGTATTTCATTTTATTTATTTCATTTGATTTTATTTTTGCCGCTGCAGGACATTTATTCGATCGTAAGCCATTTATTTTATTATTTTTGCAGGGCTTTGAAAACACACACACACCCAAAAGACACAGAGTATGTAGGCAGCTGAAAAATAAAACAGCACCCTTGCGAACAACAGATACGCCTGTGCTATTTGCACCCCAGCAAAACACAAGCTACAATTCTGTAGGGAAAGGACGAAAAAAAAAAAAGAGAGAGAGAGAGAGCCAAAAAGGACACTATCGGTTACAAATCTGACTTCCTGAAGATCTCAGGATCCAAAAACTCACATTGGATTCCCTTCTCCTTTGCAGTGCAGCACCAAATTGTCGCCTTCTTGTGGGTGTTCCGGTCTGGGCTCAATTTTTGCCGTTGGTTTGTCTGAGGAGAAGACGACCAAAGGAGAAAAATAGAGGAAAAACAGTTAAGCAAGAATTGCCAAATTTTTTACAGGTTGGATCCTCGATTTACAGCCACCATGGACCCCCCCAAATTTCTGTTGTTAAGTGAGACATTTGTTAAGGGAGGTTTGCCTCATTTTATGACCTTGTTTTAAGTGAACCACCGCAGTCAATGAGTTAGTAAACTGGTTGTGAAGTGAACCTGGCTGCCCCACGGACTTTGCTTATCCGAAGGTCGCAAAAAGGGACAGAGCAACGGTCATAAGTATGAGCCAGTTGCCAAGCATCGGGAAGTTTGAATCGCATGACCATGGAGATGCATCAAAGGTCGTAACTGTGAAAAACGGTCCTAAAAGTCACTTTTTTTGGGTGCCGTTGCAACTTTGAACGGTGACTAAATGAACTATTGTAAGTCGAGGACTACCTGTATTCTGGATGGACAACAATTGGTTCACTATAATTCTTTACTGGGGTCTCCAGAGATCCAGAGATGCATCGCTCTGTTTTGCCTCAGAGCCTTCCTTGGGATTCCAGATGCTTCCTCCTCTTTCTCTCTTGAACTTTTAAAATATATATATATTTTTTTAATTTTTAAAAAATTAAACCTGCAATGGCAGGCTGACACTTTGCTACAAAGCAAAGCGACCTGATTCTCTCGTCATTTTTATTTCAAGAAGGCCTTTTAGGAAATTTGTCAGCCCTGCCGCAGCTAGCTCCTCAGGAAAGAGAGACCCCCGACTCCAGTTGAAGCGATAGGTTCTCTTACTAAGGATTATGTCGACTCATAAAATATTTCTATGGTCTTTTTAGAGTTGCCAACGAAAAGGGAGGGGGAAGCAGTGCGGCAGCTTGCAAAACCGAAAGTGCATTCCATCAATGTTTTCAAAGATAGTAACTAGGTGACTGAAGTTTCTGCCGCGCAAAATTCTAACTGGAGAGCATGATTCTTGGCTATGGAGGCGTCCCATTGGAGAATATGAATTACGATACACCCAGGGGGTGGGGGAAAAAAATAGAGTCAAGGGTGACAATGAACGATGCGTCTCAGAGTTGGCTGCACCCAGGCAGTGCCAGACATGTTAACTCTCAATAAATCCTTTTGAAGTTTTGGAAGTTTGGCTCGAGACTCGGGATTTAATTGGGGGGAACTGCCGGAATCCTGACAGATTACCGGTTGCAGCAGAAGGAAGGCAAGATCTGAGCTTTCCATGCAAAGCATCACAAGTTTCCCCCTTCTTACACACACACACACACACACACACACACACACACACACACACACCGGCACCCTTTCCTCATCTCTACCCTCAACATGTCAATTGCCTCCTTCCTCTCCCCGCTCCTCCCTCCTCCCTTTCAGGACGCCAGTAATTAAAAATGGGGTGGGAGGAACTCTGGGAGTCGAAGTCCACCTATATCTGTAAGTGACCAAGATTGAACTGTCATAATTCTGCAAGGTTTTCGAAATAAGTCACATACAAAAGACAGAGAGGCGCTGCAAAGCCGATTTCCCGGAGATCTGCATAGAGGCGTGATCGACTGTGCATGTAACGTTTGCACCATCGTCCTCTTTGCTGACTGTAATTTCTATGTGGCTGCTGACCGTGAAGGTTTTTCCGTTGGCATCTTTGGAGACGTCCGACGACTGGCCTGTTTGGGAGAGAGAGAGAGAGAGAGAAAAACAAACTGAGATTGGTGGTCTAGCAAAAGGAGAGAAGGGAGGGGGATGACTTACAAACACAGCCTTTTAGATTCCGGATCGCAATATGCTTAGGGGATAGTTTTTGACCTAGAAAGTTCAACTCACGAGTCAAGAATCCCATCTATATTATCCTGTTTTATTTTTTTTGGGGGGGGGGAGTTTTGCCACCTTTGCACTACTTGGGGGGCTGCCACAAGGAAGAAGGGGTTCAAATTATTCCCCAAAGCACCAGAGAGCAAGGCAAGAAACAATGGTGGAAGCTAATCAAGGAGAGATTCAACCTAGAACTAAGGAGAAATTTCCTAACAATGAGAAGAAGTAACCAGTGGAACAACTTGCCACCAGAAATCATGGGCACTCTATCACTGGGGGCTTTTAAGAAGAGACCGGACAGCCGCTTATCTGAAATATTATAGGCTCTCCTGCTTGAGCCAGGGGCTGGACTAGAAGACCTCCAAGGTCCCTTCCAGCTCATTCATTCTATAAATAAATTTCAAGATTACAGTCTAGAAAGACACAGCATTAAAGGAAAGGCGGAGAGAGAGGGGGAAGGAAAAAGGAAGGCAGAGGGAAAAGGCAACAGAGACAACTCCATTTTGAAATTCTGTGTTTGTGTAAATGCTTTATTAGAAGAATGCAAGGGTCTTATAAGAATATGAATAAAAATTAAGTAATGGGAGGAAACTTCAAAATTACGTGGTTGTATACTGGCGTGTAATCTGCTTCTACCTTAGAGGTAATTCAGTTAAAGAGCTCTTGGCCACAAGTCACTGTAGGTTAAGGGTCACAAGTTTAATAGGCTTTAAAGAAAGGTGGCGCTAAACCAGAAAGGAAAACTGGCACCTGTGCCTCCATGTTCCCAGTGCAGTCTATCTGCAAATTGTTGTTGTTCTTATTTGCAAAGTCGTGTCCGACCCATTGCAACCCCATGGACAACGTTCCTCCAGGCCTTCCTGTCCTCCACCATCTTCTGGAGTCCATTGAAGCTCACGCCAACTGCTTCAGGGATTCCCTCCAGCCATCTCCTTCTCTGTCGTCCCCTTCTTCTTCTTTTTCCCTCTATCGTTCCCAGCATTCGGCTCTTCTCCAGCGAGTCCTTCCTTCTCATGTGTTGGCCAAAGTCTTTGAGTTTCCTCTCCAGGATCCGGCCTTCTAAAGAGGAGTCAGGGTGGATCTCCTCTAGGACTGACCAGTTGGATGGCCTTGCTGTCCAAGGGACTCGCAGGAGTCTCCTCCAGCCCCAGAGTTCAAAGGCCTCCATTCTTTGGCGCTCAGCCTTCCTTACGGTCCAACTTTCCCAGCCATACATTGCCACTGGGGGAACCACAGCTTGACTCTACGCCCCTTTGTTGGCAGGGGGATTTGTCTCTGCTTTTGAGTAGGCCGTCTGGATTTGCCATAGCTTTCCTCCCCAGGAGCAAGCACCTTTTAATTCCTTGCCTGCAGTCCCCATCTGCAGTGGAGCCCAGGAAAATAAAATCTGTCACTACCTCCATTTCTTTCCCATCTATTGGCCAGGAATGGAGAGGGACGGATGCCACGATCTTAGTTTTTTTTTTTAATGTTGAGTTTCAAGCCAACTTTTGCACTCTTCTTCTTCACCTGTATCAGCGCACTCTATCTGTGAATACTGACTGGTAAAGGTATCGCTCTCCGTTTTATGAATATTTCATAAGCAGACGGGAAACAAAGTAGGCGGCCCAAACTAACATCCTTCTTAGGTTCTTAAAACAGTATGCTGGCAACTTACCTGTCAAGTGTTTGTCACCCTTTTTCCATCTGAGATAAGCTGCTGGCTTACTGCCAGAAGAGACACATGTCAACGCAGCCACGTCTCCTTCCCTAAGAGGGCCTGAGTAACCAGAGATTTGGGGTTTCTGTGGGATTCCTGAAAGAAAAGAGGACAATGAGGACTAGCGACTTAAAAGGATCCCGGAGAAGATGCACTTGGGAGCTTTTGTTCCCAGAAAGGATAACATGCCTCTAAAATTTGGAGCGAAATTATAGCCCTGCGCTAGGACGACATCTCCCCTGCCTCGTTGATTAAAGATGTCACAATTGTTGCTTCTTCTTTGACAATAATTGTGTGTCATGCCCCTGTCAGAATCTAATTCAGAGGGGGAGGCTGAGCAGCTGACAGGGAGTAGCTGTGGAAGAAACTGGAGAAGGGCAAAGTCCGACTGGGCAGAGCAGGGGGGAGGTAGAACAAGGGAGAGGGAATTCAGAGGAAGACCCAAGCCCACCCGCTCTTCATCCTAGGGCACGCAGGGAGGAACGGGAGAGGGAGCAATGTGAGTGGCATGGCTTACGGGGGAGGAAAGGGCCCTGATTCCCTTCATTAGCTGCAGCTGGGAACACAGTGTTTAAAAAGGGAAGTTGCGCACAGGAAACTGTGGGAAACAAATTGTGAATTATCTGGTATCGTTGAGGCTTATCTGGGTTCCTGGCATCTTCCCAACTGTGTGTGTTTGGCTGGCCTTTCAAGCCTGCAATTCCTTCTCCTGTCCTGTCAAGTTAATTGCTGCAGTGTGGTTTGTTTGGATTTTTATTTACAGTTTATATGTACTTTGTTTTTGGACTGAATTTCCTCCACTTAAAGATTGCTCCTGGGAGAGTTTTTGTCCAGCCTGAAGGTAACCTGGACAGTGGGGGCAAAGTTGGAGATAATTAAAGGGACTCTTCTTGCTTATTTGACTGTGTTGCCTTTGTGCCACGCCCCTTTGGGTCAACACGTTGTGTGTTTGGGATGTACAAAACAGTTGTTCCATTCCTGAAATATTTCATTTTCCCCTGGGCATTTGCAACTCGTATGCCCATGTCCAGAAGCCGACAGGCAGTTTTCGACTGATACAATCATTCATTTAGTGACTGGAGTTACAATGACACTGAAGAAAGGGGGCTGTTCTGACCCGTTTTCACACTGAGCGACCATCGCAGCATCCCCGGGGGGTCACATGATCAAAATTCAGACACTCGGCAACCGGCTTGTACTTATGACTGTTGCAGCATCTCGGGGAATCACGCGATCTTCCGTGATTCCGGGGGAAGTCGGATTCACTTAACGACCATGTTGCTAACTGAACAGCTGCATGATTCGCTTAGTCGCCGTGGCGAGAAAGGCCGTACGGCGAGGCAAAGCTCGCTCCGCAACTGTACTCGCTTAGCAACAGAAAATTTGCCTGTGGTTGCGAGTCGAGGACTGCCTGCCTTTCCAAGGCAGATGGAAATTCCGGGCTCGGTTGTGGTTGGGAGTCCAAGGCGGGAGGCGACCGGGGTATTCCAGACGGAGCCCGCCCGCCCTCAACCTCTTGGGAAGACTGAAGTATTCTGGGAACAGCCCCTCCCATTTGGGACACGGCTCGCCACTGACCCCTTTGCCTCACCCAAGACGGTGACCATGGCTTTCGCAGTCCGTACGGGCCGGGTGAATATCGTGCAGGTATATTCTCCCTCATCAGCCAGAGTGGTGTTGTCGATGCTTATGCTCAGCTCGTTGGCCGTCGAGTTCTCCAGCTGGATTCGGAGGTCTCGCAACGCTAGGAGGCGGAAGGAAGGCGAGTTAGAGAAGGGTCAGAGAGGGTCACCTTAGGTATATCTCTCTCTCTTTCTTTCTCTCTCTCTCTGTCTCTCTGTCTAATTCATATAGCCCATCTCATCAAAAACAATCTTCCTTCCTTCCTTCCTTCTTTCCTTCCTTCCTTCCTTCCTTCCTTCCTATCTATCTCTCTAATTTATATAGCCCATCTCATCAAAATCAATCTTCCTTCCTTCCTTCTGTCCTTCCTATCTCTATCTCTCTCATTTATATAGCCCATCTTATCGAAATCAATCTTCCTACCTCTCTCTCTATCTCTCTGTTCTCTATCTCTCTAATTTATATAGCCCATCTCATCAAAATCAATCTTCCTTCCTTCCTTCCTTCCTTCCTTCCTTCCTTCCTTCCTTCCTTCCTTCCTTCCTATCTCTATCTCTCTATTTCTCTATCTAATTTATATAGCCCATCTCATCAAAAGCAATCTTCCTTCCTTCCTTCCTTCCTTCCTTCCTTCCTTCCTTCCTTCCTTCCTTCCTTCCTTCCTTCCTTCCTTCCCTCCCACCCTCCACTCATCTCTGTCTGTCTGTCTATTTACCTACCTACCTACCTATCATCTCTAATTTATACGGTCCATCTCACTGAAAACAACTCTGGGTGGCATAATACAGTGAATAAATACATAAAATCAGTTATTATTTGTTATAAAAGACTAAAAGAAACCACACAGAACAAAACAAGGATATTTGTTACTGTTTTCAACAGCTTGAAAAAGTTTAGATTCTTTTCCTATCCTGGAAAAATGTACAGGTCAAGATTGTAAACCTCAACTGAAATATAAAATCAGGGAAAGCTCTAAAATATATAGATTTCCTTTTAAACATTTAAGCAGTGTTTACCAACTTTAAGAGGACTTCAATTCCCAGAGTTCTCCCAGTCACTATATTGGAGTGGCAAAGCTTTGGATGACCACTAGAGGGCAGCAAAGAGATGTGAATCTCCTTGCTGCCATCTAGTGGTCATTTCAGTGGTGATGAGTGGGATTGCCAGATTTCCCATGGCTGGCTGGGGAATTCTGGGAGTTGAAGTCCGCTCATCTTAAAGTTGCTAAGGTGGAGAAACAGAAACTCCAGAGAGTTTCACACTGGTAATTACAGGGAATCAGGAAGAATGCTGTACTTGTGGCATTAAAAAAAATACATGCTGGATGGAATTGCACGTTCCATTTGAATGCTTGAAGTCTGTGTTTAGGGGACATTTGGCAGCCAAGGAATCAGGAAGAGATTGCAAATTGTTCAGAGCCACCTGTATTTGTGTGAATTCCAGACCAAAATACTACAGACTCTTTCTGTGTGACACTTCTTTAGGAGACAGGCTGTTGCAAATGGCCTTTCTGCTAACATTCATCTTCACACCTTCAAATAAATAAATAAAAGTTGGAAGTAGCGAGCCACGGCTTCAGTGAACTGCTACAACATCATCTGTGGCTGCAGACGGAAGGAAACAAAAAGACTAAATTTAAAGAAAAATAAAAACCAAACTTCTCCCCACCTTGCAAATCAAAACAAAAGAAAAACGAGCGATCCACACCATTGTAAATACTATTAAAAAACAGTGTGACATGACATGACATCCTTGGAATTTACCGTATGAAAATCAATAGACTTTCCCCCTTGGATTTATAGGGCTGGGGCATTAATCAATAAATCATAGATCACATTCAGATAACATCTCAGCAATTCAACAAATTAAGAGCAGCAAGTGTTTCTCTCAATGCCAAGCCTGCAGCAAAATCATCGGTTTGGGAATTCTTGGATAGAGTAGGCCTCGTTTGAGAATGCAAGAAGAAAAAAAAAGTTTAATCTGTTTAACTTTGGGCGTATCCATATCATGGCTTCAAGTCTGTATCTTACTTGTCATGCATAATAAGAATGGAATGGAATAGGGTAGGATAGAAAAGGAAAGAAGAGAAGAGAAATCATAGAATGGAATGGAATAATGAATAGAATAAGAATAGAACAGAATTAAGAATGAAAGAATAGAACTAAGAATGAAAGAATAGAAAAGAAATGGAAAGAAGAGAAGAGAAGAGAAATTATAGAATGGAATGGAATAATGAATAGAATAAGAATAGAATAGAATTAAGAATGAAAGAATAGAACTAAGAATGAAAGAAGAGAAAAGAAATGGAAAGAAGAGAAGAGAAATTATAGAATGGAATGGAATAATGAATAGACTAAGAATAGAACAGAATTAAGAATGAAAGAATAGAACTAAGAATGAAAGAATAGAATAGAAAAGAAATGGAAAGAAGAGAAGAGAAATTATAGAATGGAATGGAATAATGAATAGAATAAGAATAGAATAGAATTAAGAATGAAAGAATAGAACTAAGAATGAAAGAATAGAAAAGAATAGAAAAGAAATGGAAAGAAGAGAAGAGAAGAGAAATTATAGAATGGAATGGAATAATGAATAGAATAGAATAGATTGAAACAGAATAAATAAAGAATAGAATAAGAATAGAATAGAATCAAGAATGAAAGAATAGAACTAAGAACGAAAGAATAGAACTAAGAATGAAAGAATAGAATAGATTAGAATACAATACAATACAAAAATATAGATTTTTTTTCTATTGCTCAAGCCATTTGAGATAAATGGTTTTCCGGTCAATCAGATATGCATGATCCAAAATAACTCATTTTCAGTTTAGAGCAAAAACAACAGCCTCAACTCTCCAAGATTTTTAAAGTGCCCTATTTGGGCTTTTTTTAAAGCAAATCGTTTTGCCTTTTTTAACACCGATTTTCAAGTGTGGCCTTTCGAATGTGTTAGTCATGCCTGGTTAGTGAGAAGAAGGAGGATGCTGAAAATATATAGATTACATCAACAATAAAGATGTATTGTGTTTGTAGCATATTAATAGCTTCGAGGTTAGGGAAAAAAATCACCCCTAATATTCTCCTTGAGGAGGGGAAAAAAATAATTTTTTTTGCTGGTCGTTTGGAGGCAATTTTGAATCGCCGCCGGTGAGCAAGGAAAACAGACATCTTTAAGGTTTGTAGATGGTCCCTTATCTCCTTTACCCAGGTGGGAGGAATCCCCATTGAAGCAAAGGCTTGGTTTCCTTTTATTTGACAAGAGTCGAGGTTCTTGGAGAGGCCTCTGGATTTTTACCTTCCTCTCCATGACGTCAAGAGGGGGCTTGGAAGGCGGATTTGGACGCCGAAAAGACGACAGGTTGCAAGCGCCAGAAACTATAACGCGCGACAAAACAGAAGCTTGGTTTGCAAAACCCGGTTCCAAATTGAACCGGAGGGATTTGGCCGGAGGCTAATTGCATTTGTTATTGGCGGCTCTGACAGTCTACGGCGTTTTCCCCGTCGTTGGGATTTAAGGATAAACCACAGTAAATAAATTTGGGGATTGTCACTGGCAGCAGCCACAGCTGTCGGCCTCCTGCCTCTGGGCCGGAAGAGGGAAAATGCTGCAGGAGCTACCTCGTTTTTCTCCAAAGTAGAGCGTCTGCTGAGCAGGATTGGACCACTGGAGCGAGGAATCTTCTGGATCTTCTACCTTACAGGAAAGGATGACTTTCGAACCCGCCACCACGACTTCATCGGAGGTCACCGGCTGGCTTCCTGTTTAAAAAATAAATCTGTCTATATCTATATCTATATATCTCTCTATATATATATCTATAAAAGCGAAATATGCCACTCACGCATCGTCACAAAATCTCCAGCACCATAAAGCCTTCAAACTTGAAATTTGGCACCTAAGTTCCTCTTGGCTCCTAGGGGCTCACTAAGAAAGGATTCTTCGAAAAGACCCTCAGAGCATTTAGAGTATTTCATATATTATTATTATTATTATTAACACGCTCTGATGCTAAGGAGTTCTAATCCCTCTCCCCACCTGAAAAGAAATCTTTTCCAAATGCAAAACACAAGCAGAGGAGTTTCGGTTTTAGTTTCACAGCAACCAAGCAGCTTTAGTACAGAACAGTTGAGCTAAGCCACGCCCAGGCTCCTTGCTGTCTCCTCCTTGCTCACACAGCAAATA